TCAGAAGGAATGATGCGACCATTTCCTGTGTTGAAGTTTCACAGGCCATGCCTGTGTTGGGTTGGCGCTGTGTCCAGGTAGCAGCGATGGCTGCCAGCTTGGCTGGGGGAAAATTTGTGCCCAGATTGTGGGAGTCGCAGCCCACGCAGGGTCCTCTGTGATGGAGGCCAGCCAGTTTTTATGGACTTCAATGCTATTTGCTTCAGTACACTTTGAAATGCAGGGTCAGCTCACTGAGCTACAACATGCAATAATAACACATTTTTATAGGACTGGCTTGTCAGAGCAGCAACAACACGCGATACATAAAACCAATAAACACACCGTGTCTACAGATTCTATCCAGTAACCAGGATAAAGCAATAAAACTGACAGCAGCCATCAAAAAGCTCCCTTCCTGACTTTGTCAGGTGAATTTACTGTTGCTTAAAACAGAGTGTCACGGAGCCTCAGATCAGTGTGCAGTGATGGAGCAGCAAGTTACACCACATGGAGGGGCGAGGGCCTAGTGAATACAAGCAAGATGGGCAGGTGTGTTTGCTAGGGCTTGGGACCCTCTAGTCCAGTGGTTCTCAACCTTCCTAATGCGACCCTTTAATACAGTTCCTCATGTTGTGGTGACCCCCAATTTCATTGTTACAAATTGAACATAATTAAGGCATAGTGATTAATCACAAAAACAATATGTAATTATATATGTGTTTTCCGATGGTCTTAGGCGACCCCTGTGAAAGGGTCGTTCGACCCCCAAAGGGGTCGCGACCCACAGGTTGAGAACCGCTGCTCTAGTCTTTAAGGTGATGCAATTCACATTAGAGATAGTCTACAGGATGCTTTGGTTTTCCCAAGTTACACATCACATATCATGTGTGACGGTGGGCTATGGGGCGGTAGATCAGCCATTAGTATTTCCTGGCTGCTGCTTATAGCCTTGAGGCAGGAAAGAGCTTACATTTGCTGGAATACACAGGGGACGCAGTGGGCTGGTGTTACCTTAGCCTGGATTCCTAGCGTGTGGACCTCCGTACTCTCTGATGGAAAGAAGGAAATAACAAAGGAAGAAAGCACAGCGGGAGAGAAGGAAAACAGGAAGGAAGGAGGGGAAGAGACATCAAGGAAAGAGAAACAAAGAAAAGAGAGGGAGGGAGCTGCCAGTGAGCGTACCGTTTGCATCTTCATGGTCACCACCAGAAATATTTCCCAGAGTTTCCAGAGCTCTTCATCTTACAAACAAATGAACATAACACAACGAAACAGCTGTGAGTTGTACCACATTCCTGCCTAGTTTCGCCAAGGTGAATGGCTCCTGCAGGAGAGTGGCAGCCGGAGTGGGCTTGGCTATCAGGAGGCTCTCTCCCACTTTGGAGAGTGAGAGGCCTGACCTTTCTAAACCAGTGTCGCCCCAGGGCCCAGAAGAGGAGACCTTCCCTGTGGCAGCAGCTGGGCAGCTGCCTGGAGGAGCCCCTGCTCTGCATACCTAGAGCCTGGCCGAGGCAGCCACGCCCACTTCCACATTAGGTCCCTCTGAGCCCGAAACTCAAGGACAACCTGCTTCAGTGGCTGCCAGACTCCAGACCCATACCAACCCGGAAGTGGCTCTGATTGGCCCTCTCAGAAGGATGCCCCACCATCCTAGGCCCCTGAAGAAATAAAGGCGGCTCAGGCGTGTGTCTCAATGTCCTCATATCTTCAGGCACATTCTCCTTTGACACCCGTCCTTAAATAACTGCCTCTCAAATGCTTCCTGGGGAAGCTGAGGAAACCTCCCCTCTCAGACACCTGTTCTCCCAAATGCTGATATTCAAGATCATTAAAGCAGTTAACTATGTGATGATTCATTTCATTAGCAGAGTATGCTGTGCTTGCCCACCCTCCTGGCACCTCCCCAGGCACCTGGGGCTCAGAGGGTTTGGTACCCATTCGTCTCTGCACCTGTCTTGGCTTTGATGGAGAGATGCCTTTGAACTCAGGAGTTAGTGGGAGTTAGCTAAGGATGGAGGAACACGATGGGAGATCTTGAACACTTCTCTCTGCTTCCAGGATGTAAGGGAGTAATACTTTGGAGTAATACTGAGAGAGTGTGCCAGCTATTAGGCCCTCAGGAAACTGCAGCCTGGAGTTCGAAGGGAATCCCACTTCTCACCAGTCCTCAGGCAGGAACGGGGAGGTGAGTGAGGCACCCACCTTGGGCACAAAATTTAAGGGGGGCACCAAAAACTCAGTAATGAAGATAAATAATGTTTTAATGCAACATTAAAAAAATAAAAACTAATGCAAAGCATCCACAGTGAACAAAATATCAACATTTGAAACAAAGGCAAGACTGGTATTACTAATTTTTCCCTTTTCTTTTCATGGTTCATCATGGCACTGTTATGGATCCTGTCTTTGTTTAATTTTTTTTAATTTTTATTTCTTGATTTTTTTTAGAGAGAAGGAGGGAGAGAGACATTGATTCATTATTCCACTTATTTATGCATTCATTGGTTGATTCTTTTTTTTCTTTTTTTTAATATTTTATTTATTTTTGCAGAGAAGAAGGGAGAGGGATAGAGAGTTAGAAACATCGATGAGAGAAAAACATCAATCAGCTACCTCCTGCACAACCCCTACTGGGGATGTGCCTGCAACCAAGGTACATGCCCTTGACCAGACTCGAACCTGGGACCCTTCAGTCTGCAGGCAGATGCTCTATCCACTGAGCCAAACCAGTTAGGGCTAGTTGATTTTTGTGTGTGCCCTGACTGGGGACTGAACCTGCAACTTGGCACATCGGGACAAAGCTCTAACCAACTGAGTTACCCTGCCAGGGCTTGTTTAAAATTTTAATGTTTTACCATCAATTTTTTTTGCATTAACTTAAAGTTTTTAAAATATTGTATTAATTTTTTTGTCTTGCTCACTGAGTTTTTTGGTTCTCCCTTAATTTTTTCCCCTTTATTAGATGTCTCTATTTTTGCCCCTTTGCCTGTTCCACCCAGCCCCCAGCCCCCTTCCCTCTGGCTGTCACTACACTGTTGTCTGTGTCTGTGGGTTATGCATATATGTTGTTTGGCTAATCCCTTCACCTTCCTTCATCTAGTCCTCCTCTCCCTGTCCCCTCTGACAGCATCAGTCTGTCCCACGTATCCATGACTCTGTTTCTATTTTGTTCATCAGTTTATTTTATTCATTAAATTGCACAAATGAGTGAGATCATATGTACTTGTCTTTCTCTGACTGGCTTATTTCACTTAGCGTAATACTCCCTAGGTCCATCCAGGCTGTTGCAAAAGGTAAGAGATCCTTCTTTTTTACAGCCACGTGGTATTCCAGGGTATAAATGTACTACAGCATTTTATCAGCTCATCTACTGATGGGCAGTTGGGCTGTTTCCAGATTGTGGCTATTCATGGTAAATAACTTGGTTCTCCCTTAAATTTTGCACCCAAGGCAAAGGCCTCACTCACCTTACCCTAGCCCCTGCCTTGTGTCCCTAACCAGGAACCAGTGGGAAAACTTGGCCTCCTCTCTAGTACGAAATACCCCCTAAGACTACTGAGGCTTTTCAGTGAAGATTTGTGACTTCACTTCACTATTCCCTTGTCTTTCCTGCTGTTTCTGGGCATGTACAGGTGAAAAGGAGTTCGTTCCCAAGTTTCCACTCTGTTATTGTGTCTCACTACTATGCCCTCAGCCTAAGGGCCAAACAATTTGGATTAGATATTACTCAAATTTTCCTTTGATATCCAATCAGAATTTCATAACTATAAGTTACCATTGCAAGCCTACAACTGGTTAGAGAACTTAATCAAGGCCCTGTAAATGCAGCACCGGAGTACAAGGGCTACCCTGTCCATCAATGCAGACTTCAGAGAGCGAGCCCTGCAGGAAGGTGACTCTTTGGGCCCTGGGGAGGCCCAGGTCATCACACTGGAGCTTCCATGTCCTCTATCGTATTCAGTGGTCCTGTCCCCTCTGTGTCGCTGGTACTATCTTTACTGACACGCCAGCCTCAACAGAAACTACTCACTGAGCCAGCTTATTGTGCTCTTGACAGACAGCTGGCATACGGAGCTGCTTTCTCCCACTGGTTTTCATTGTAAATGTGTTATCTCAATTGCTGTCCCAGGTGAATCGGCGTTTGAGAGCTGGCCTGGGAGCCAGACCACCATTTATCTCACGATTCCTGTGGGAAAGAAGCTTCGAAGGACTGGCCTCCAAATGAGAAGCGTACTTGCACCACAGCCCACCTGGGAGTTGGGCTCTGTAACCAAACAGTGAGGCACCTGGTTGGCTGTAGGGGCTTGCCTGCAGGTGAGCTGGCCAATGTAGCAAAAACCCTAAACCCTGGGGAAGGGAGGAGCTGGGGGAGGATGTCATTTTTTTTCTTTTGTAGCTATTTGCATCCTAGTGGCATTTGTAGAGACTGCAGACACCTAAGGATTAGGGAGATTAATGGAGTTCCTTTGATGGTAAGATTCAGTTCTCAGCCTCTTCTTCTAAATTCATTGTTTTCTCTTTTCCATTTAAAATGAATATTAAGACTTTATCCACAACAAGTTCCCCAAACAGCTACATTACTGGGAACTCAGAGCCGAGCACAGTGCCCCAACGGTGCAAGAGAGAGTTGGGAGCTGGGGTCCTCAGAGCTGCCAGGTTGTGGGCGTTGGTGGTCTCCCTTTAGGGTCAAGGTGGGAGGTGCTTCGAAGGGTGTCCAGGAGTGGGAGGGAGGTGCCCTCCTCGTGGGTGACTGCCTGGGCCGTGCCCTGCCACAGGTCCTCCCTCTACTTCCACCCACTTCCATGTGAGGAGATGGCTGGGTGTTTCTCACAGCTGCATCTGTCCCTCATTTACTTTCCAGGGAGTGTCACTAGTCCCGGGACTCAGAAAAACACAGAAAATCCCTGCCCAGCGTCAGGGACCAATCTGTAAAGTCTGGTCCCTAACAGACAACAGTCTCTCTATTTGGGGCAATTTGGCCAAACACATTTATTTGCCATCTCTAGAAACCTTCAGCACTAAATGTGCTGGTATTTCCACCTAAGGAGGAATTTAACTGCAAAAATGAACAGGATGGTGAACAAGAATAAAAATACCACGAGAAAAAAAATGCCCACGGCCGTAATCCCACAGGACAGTTCCACCTCAGACAGCTTGACTCCCCTTAAAGATGGCGGGTTCTCACACACTGTCTCCTCCACGTCCTCGAGTTTGTGCAGGTTTTCTCTGAACCAGGTTATGAAGCGAACATTTGAGCAAGTGCAGTCCAGAGGATTGTGACTTAAATTAATGGTGCTCTGCTGGGACAAGATGGGGAGGAGACGGGGTGGGATGAAGCGAATGCTGTTGGTGGCCAGGTTGAGGTAGAGCCCCTTCAGGTGGCCAAGAGCATCGATGCTGTTTTCCGTCAGGCTGTTGTGGCTTAAGTCTAGGTGAGTCGCATTCCCAAGGCTGTGGAAGGCCTGCTGGTCTATAGAGAGGAGCTCACAGGAGGATAAAATCAGCACCTCCAAGCCGGCTACTGTCTGAAGAAGGTTGGTCTTGGAGAGGCTCCCATCTTGAAATCTATTTCCCTGTAAATTCAGTTGCCGGAGACCCCCCAGGCCTTCCAGAAGGTGCTGATTGCTGGCGTCGAGGAGGCAGTGGGAGAGATTCAGAACCTGCAGGAGAGGAAGGTTTTGGAAAGGACTCTGTGACGCCATAACAGTCAGGTGAGTAAATGCCAAATCCAGGACTTCCAGCTCAGGACTCTCTTGGAACGCCTGACGCCGGAGACCCATGGACACAGCGTAGCTCAGGTTTAGGTACTGCAAGTGGCGCAGGCCTTTGAGTGGCAGGTTGCAGCAGTCAGAAGCCTTTATGCCATTGTGGCTTAAATCAAGTCTCCGGAGATTTGCTAGTTTTTCCAAACACCCGGCACCGAGGTCAAGTACCCCCAGGTTGCCTTTGATAGAGAGGTCTGTGAGGGCCGGGAAACTGGCAGCATTGATTTGACACAATTGCTCAAAATGATTTACATTGAGAACTAATTTCCTGAGCGAGTTCATACCCTGAATCCCAGAGGGTAACTCTCTCAAGTGAGTTGCCGTCAGGTCCAATTCCCGGAGGGGCGTGAGGCACCGAAAAGTGGTAGCTGACAAGTCAGAGAAACGGTACTGGCGCAGGCTCATGCTCTCGACAGACATCTCACAGAGCCCCTCGAGCATGGCTGGAGTCAGGTCCTGGCTCTCAGTGTCCTCGTATGTCCCCAGCCAGAGAGACCGAGTAGTAGAGTTCTGTAGCCCTTTCAATATGACAGACACGTCAAGCGTCCCTCCAAATCGCAAACTTTGGAAGACTTTTGCCTGGAAAGCCCCAGGCTCCATGCCTCTGATGTCATTGCTATCGAGGTTGAGGCTGAGGTTGGTGGCCCCCAGAGTGTTCAGGTCTTCGCGAGAGAGGAAGTGGAGAGCATTATTCTGAAAATCCAGAACCTTCAGATTCTGTGTTGGGAAGTTTCCTGGGAACTTCATGGAGGAAATATGGTTGCTTCCAAGATACAAACTTTCCAAGTTTTCCAGATTGTGCACTGGGATGAACTCGAGATTGGATATTCCCGTTTGGATTAAGAAAAGGTGCTTCAGCGCCCTGGGCCCGAGGAGGGATGTTTCGGCCATAAATATCAGGGGATTTCCAGTCAGCACAAGGGTGTCCAATTGGTGATGGCTTTGAAAGGTGTCTTCATGTATCCAATTGATCTGGCACCTTGAAAAGGTAATGGTATATAACAATAACTAATTAGAAAAAAGCAGAAGACATTCTGTCACCGTGAGCTACATTAAAAAAGTCATGGTTTGTGTATAGTAAAAACAGTGTACATTGTCATTCAAAGTAAAACATGAAAAACATTCTTCAGTAGCTACAGGTGGCCTCTTGAATTAATGACTAGCCTCAATTCTAAACACACTAATTTAGATTCCCCCCCCCCTAAATATCTTGCCCCTTTAGGTTAAACTGTAAGAAGTTTGTGTTTGGAACCTAGAGAACAATTAGTAGTTTGCTTGTTGAAAAAAAAATCAAACTATTATTTACTATTTTAAGTAATAGAAAATGTTACATATAAAGCATAATATATATGATATATATGTATGTGTGTGTGCGCGCGTGTGTTATATAGAATGCATAGTAATGATATTTACATAGGAATCTGTGTCATCCTGGTTAAGTTACAACTTTTTGCAACCTCTGTTTTTTTAATCTATAAAGTATAGAAATAATGATTACTTTGTAGAATGGTGGTGAGTGCATTTATAGAAATATGCAACACTAGAGCTGAAAAGACACCCCTACTGGTACTGAACCTAATGATGTTGGACAGTACATACACATATACAACACACCTACCCTCAAGGTCAAGGGGAATTCCTTAGAAATGAATTGTGGAAAGGAAGCCTGAATCCATAGCAGCAAGTGAGCCCTAGAGCTAGCTTTGCCACATCTGCCAATATCTCTAAGTCCCTAGTAGCCTAGAGCCTGGCTTTTAATGAGCCACATGTGTCAGTGGCAGAAGACAAAGCTTGGGGATAGGCTAGGAGGTCCTCTCAAAAACCTGCTCATTACCATGACCCTCAAAAGGGATCCTTCAGTGGCTGACCTTAAAAAAGAAAGCTCACAGAGGGAGACCTCGGGATATGTGTCTTGGCCTTGGCTCTGAATGGAATAAGGACAACAATAACAAGGAAAGACTCCTCTGAGATTCCCTAACCATAAGCTTCTACTCAGGAGGATTGTGGCATGGTTTATGCCACCTCTGTAGACCTCCCCAAAGAAACCCAAGTGGAAAATTGGGTTTGAAAGTTTGAAGTTGTTCCAGGATGGCAGTAACTGGCAGAAGGAAATAGAAAACTTTTCCAGATCGGTGTACTTAAATTTTAATAAGGAAAACTTTCAACTTTACATAAAAGGAAAGAGAAAAATACAATAAACCTTCACACATCTATCACACAGATTCAGTAATTCTCAAGATTTTGCCATATATGCTCTCTGCTTCATCTAGTCCCAACTCTATCTCCTGAATTGTTTTAAAGCAAATCTTAGCTATCCCATACATATTTGAGTAGGCATCTGCAAAAAAAATTGAGGCTTATTTTCTATAGCCATAATGCCATTGTCACATATAGCAATATTAATAATTCATTGGTATTCTCTAATTCCAGGAAAGCATTTTAAACAAAGATTTATACATATTTCCAAAAGATAAATGAGCTCAAAATAAAAATTCAATAAACACATAAGGGAAACACATTAGCCAAAGTCAGCAAAAAATAATAATAATTTAAAAACTATGGAATTAGGTTAAAAAGCTGATATAAGAATTATCATGTATTTGATAATATATAAAGAATATAGAAAATGCATTATATAGTATCAGAACATATGATAAATATATTTATATCAAACAAGTTTCACATATTTAAAGAAAATAGTAAAAATCAACAGTCTGATGAAGGAAAAAATACTAAAACTGATCTGCTATATTTGTAAAATTTGTTTTCAGTTTTATTATCATTATTCCTTAGAACTTAAGCAGCATGACTGAGCCCGTCTAGTTTGACAATTTCCTTTCTACTCCATTGATTGTTTTTTTTTTAATTACATTGCACCTGCATAAAACTATTTCATGGGAGAGGTACACACACAGGATAAGCTGATGGTCCCTGTGCCCCCAAAGGTCCTGGATGCACTTGGAATGCAAGTTGTGCTTTTCCCTAAGTAAAACATCAGTGCATGCAGGGAACTCAGATACATACCTGGTTAAATCCAAAAAGATCAGATTTGTGAGTCTGCAGAAAGTTGTGTTTTGAATTGCAGGCAAGAAGTTAAAACTGAATTCCAAAAATTCTGTTGTGTTTGGTAGAGTGTCAGGAATCTCTCTGAGACCTAAATTTTCACAGTTATATATTTTGTTGGCTTCTTTCTGATGAGATAAACAATGTAAATTAATATCAGACTTCATAATTTGATTGCAAATTTATGTATGTGGTATTTTTTTGAGCATCAATCCCCCTTCTAGGAGTCTTTACCAAGTATATATGACTTATGCATAAAATGATTCATTTAAGCATTTTTTTATATTAGAAGATTGACAATACCCAGCTTATCCATCACTATAGGATTAATTGAACAAAACATGGTACAGTCACAAAAGGGAACCTTCAGCAGCTGAAAATGAAATGACTGAGATTTCCACACACTGATAGGGCGTGATATCCAGGTATATTGTGTGGTGAAAAAAGCAACGTGTCAAATGTACATATGTAGTATAGATGGCAAATGGGATGTAGTATGTAATGTATTGTATACTATCTTTTCTGTAAAATAGGTATGTGTGTATTTTATTATATTTGCAGAAAGAAACCATGGGGGAAAAACTCAAAACTGGTTGTCTTGAAGGGGAGAGATGAACCAGGTAGAGGAGCAAGAATGGAAGCAAGACTTCTTTGAATATACTTTGTTTCATAGGTTTCATTTTGGATGCCTGGAAATGTTTTAAATCACTCTAGATTAGCATCAGCAAAATTAGACAACCAGACATCCACACTTTCTGATGTGATGTAAGGACACAGTACCACCTATGAGGTATTCTTGCCCACTTCTCCCCCAATTAAAGCTTAAATCCAACCATGACTTTAGGCTTAACTTCCATAAGTGAGGTGGGGGATTTAAGTTCAACAGCACCACAAGGTAGCAGTTACCCAAATCCAGGACATTCTGTAGAACAACTGACTTTGCTTTATGGGATGTGAATGCTGTGGGCAGAAGTGGAGAGAGGAGGGCATGGGAGGAGACAGAAAACTGTTCTTGTAAAAAAAGAGACATAAATAAAAGCTACTTAAGAGACATAACCAACAAATAATAGAGTAGCCCTTGTTTAGATTCTGGTCCAAATAATGCACTTAGGAAAAGACTTTTATAGAGTATCGAGGAACTTTGAATGTAGACAGGATATTAGAACTACTAAAGAATTATAAACGTTGTTAATGATAAGAGAAACGTTCTTAATTTTTTGAGATGCATTTTGAAATACTTAGGGATAAAATGATATAATGTTTGAGATTTGCTTTCAAATACTCTGTCAAAAAGGGAGGAGAGGAATAGGTAGATGATATTAGCAGCTAAAATGTTGATGGTTGTTGAATGTTGAGTGATACATACATAGAGATCCCTTGCAAGTAACTAGTTATGTATATGTGGTTAGAAATTTTCTAGCCCTAGCCACTTTGGCTCAGTGGATAGATCATCGGCCGGAGGGTCCCTGGTTCAATTCTGGTCAAGGGCACATACCTTGGTTGCAGGCTCCTCCCCGTCCAGGACCCTGATCAGGGCTCATGCAGGAGGCAACCAATCCATGTGTTTCTCTCACATCAATGTTTCTCTCTGTCTTTCCCTCTCTCTTCCACTCTCTCTAAAAATCAATGGAAAATATCCTCAGGTGAGGTTTAAAAAAAAAAGAAATTTTCTAAATATAACATGTAAACGAGCTAGCAATGTGGCACAGACTATGTGGCACAGACTTTAGGTCATGGGGTTGTGCAGCCTTGGAGTGTGAATTTATTTTGGATCTCAGGAGCCACAGACTGCTGTTTTGGGGGGTACAGCCCTGCACATAAGTCCAGAGCACTGCCTGATCCTGCGTCCCAAGTGAGTCAAGTATTCAGAAATCTGCCAGTAACTGCTTGTTAGGTTCCCCAACTCAAGTTATAAATCTTGGACCAACTGGGTAAAAATGGGAAGGGGTTGATTAGACGTCTATAGAATTACAGGGTCATGGTTTTTTTGGATGATGCCTTAGGATAAAGCATAGTGGGCAGGTATAAAGACCTGATGGTGTCTATTATGAAATAATCTCCAAGGACAATGCACTTGGGGGCCATCTTTCATATCCTCTATGGCACCATGTGGTTTCACCCAACCTTTCAGACCCTGCCTTTCCCCCGACCATGCCGTGGTCTCACTAGAGGCCCCTCTGAGACCGCTCTGGTCTGGGGAAGACCTGCCCATCAAACTGGAGACCAGCAGCTTTCCTCACTCTGAGTTGCGCACAGCCCTGCGTAGCTGGAAGCAGAAGAGTCCCCACATTCTCTTTGCTCTGAAGCGTGATGTTTTAGAGATGCCGCCACTTTAATTGCTTTTTGCTTTCTCGCTCCAGCCTCTGCTTGCGGTGCACGTTTTGTAGTTGCAGTGAGCATGGTCACCTACTAGAAACCACCGTGTCTTCCATATTGTGACAATATTATGAAGGTCACAGATGAACATGCTATATTCGTATATCTTTGTAATTCATTTTTTGTTTCATAGGCCCAAAGCCCCCCAGGCACTGCCACAAATCCCCCTAATGTCCTTGAAAAGCATACTTTGCATTGATAACTTACATTTAGCTGACTAGTTATGCATATGGGGAAAAGCACATGTTGCTAGACCCCTCTTTGGTACCCATGAACATGGATGACCCAGAGAGGAGATGGATATGCAGCTTTTGCCCCAATAGCTATTAAGATTCGATTAGCTTTGGGGGGACATTTTTCTTTCCTGGTCTCCATACACATACACGTGGAGAAAGGGGCCTTTCCTCAATTCATGCTGCTCTATTCTGGCCCCACAGCCAAAGGCTCCGCTCTGGCAATTCCCTCCTCCTGATTATAAACGTGCCTGCGACACCTAAACTGCTCCTCTTTGGAGCTTTACTAAGCACTTTATTGCATTAAAGCAATTGGAGAAGTTGAGGATTGAGTCAGAGCTCTACGAGCCAGTGGCCTGAGGGAGCTGCTAGCAAAAGGAGAGGCGCGTGGAGGAAGGAGCTCAGTTTGAACCCAGTGAGCGTCCAGGGACCAGTGAATCTCACACTGTGGAGTATTGGGAAGCCACCAAGAGCCCGGGCCATAACATTCCTCTCTAGTTAGGGAGACACGGCCTTTGATTCCTGGGACAAAGAGGCAAGAACTGTAGCTTATAAGAGAATTTAAAAAGCAAACACATTTCAAGAATGCACTGACCTCTCTCTTTGGCTTTCATGTTCACTCTCCTGTACAGTCAGAATTACCATTTCAGATATTACAGGTGGTGGTACCCAAACTCCTCCTGCTCTGGAATCATTTAAGTAGCATTAAATTGCTTTCAGTTTATTGTATTTTTAAGGCACGAAGTACACACACACACACACACACACACACACACACACTCATTCTTCTTTCTTTTTTTAAATCCTCACAGAGGATATGTTTTTATTGATTTGAGAGAGAGAGGAAGGAAGAGAAAGAGTGAGAAACATCAATATGAGAGAGGAACATCGATCAGTTGCCTCCTGTGCATGCCCTGACTGGGGATGGGACCTGCAACCTAGGTATGAGCCCTGGCGGGGATTTGAGCCCGAAACCTTTTGGTGCATGGGATGATGCTCCAACCAACTGAGCCACTTGGCCAGGGCTCATTCTTTTTGTTTTTGAGAGTAAATCGCAGATGCCATGACCCTTTTCCCCTAAATCTTTTAAGGAAAAGGATATTCTCATACAACCACAGTGCCATTACCAAAAATTCAGAATACTTAACATTCATATATAGTATTATCCAACACAGTTTATAATATTCAAATTATTTTCCAATAATCCTAATAGTGTCTATTATAGTAATTTTTGCTTTTCCAATCCAGGATCACACATGGCATTTATTTTTCTTGTCTCTTTAGTCTCCTTTAATCTGAGACTAGTCCTCAGCCTTTCGTTAGCTCTCATGGCATTGATTTTTTTAAAAAACGAATACAGGCTCATAGTTTACAGGATGTCCCACATTTAGGGTTTTTTTTTGTTTTGTTTTACCTGTCCTCATAATTTGATTCAGGTTATACATTTTGGGCAGCAACACTACATCAGGGAAGTTATGTATTTCTGGCTGTCAGGATTCATATCAAAACTTTTTTTTTTAATCCTCACCTGAGGATATTTTTTCCATTGCTCTTCAGAGAGAGTGGAAAGGAGAGATAGAGAGGGAAAGCAAGAGGGAGAGAGGGAATGAGGGAGAGAGAGAGAGAGAGAGAGAGAGAGAGAGAGAGAGAGAGAGAGAGAGATGCATGAAACATCTATGTGAGAGAGACACATTGACCGGTTGCCTCCCGCACAGGCCTGGACTGGGGGTGGGGAGTGAATCCACAACCCTTCCATGTGCAGGCTGATGCTCTAACCATTGAATAACACCAGCCAGGGCTCATATTAAAACTTTTTGAGAGCGCATTCTGAAAGCATAGCAGAGGATTTCAGGACAGCAGAATGATAATGCAACAGAGAAGTAAAGGACAGAGTGCGGAGAAGAAATAGTGTGGCCACTGTCATTTTGCTCAGGGCCAGGCTGGCTACCTGGGCCATGTGTTCAGTTGCTTTTCCAGACAGATACCCACCACCACTCCGGAGACATGACCACTTCCTCTAAACCCAGCCTAATTCTCCAGATCTCCATATGAGGTCAGCTTCCAAAGTTGCTTTCTCACCCTTCTGCTTTGGTTGGTTCCACCTCAGATTGCACCCTTCTGGATGTGAATGCAGTTAGCAGGCCCGTGCAAGGCTACATGGTATTGAGGACAGCTGCCCCTGGCACCCCCATTCCACATCATGGGCATTTACTCAGGACCACTGTGCACTGGGACCTGCACCAACCACTTTGTCTCTAGCTTCATGTCAGAGCCGTGCCTTGTACACAGACCAGGGCTCCCAAGTGTTGTATCCGTGCTGGCAATCCCTTTTCCCTGCAGGCATTCATTTGCATTTTTTCAATCAGGATCTTATTTTGCTTCTTTCTGCTGTATCTCTAACTCCCTGCCGGTCCCATTGTATTTTCTCTTCTCACAAGTGTTGAAATCATTTTCTAATTTAGATCCTTTGCGTTTCACTCTAGTGCCAATTCCCACCTTTACGGATGGCTCATCTGTGT